AAAATTTGACTGGACTGCTAGGCCTGTCCCTCCCGGATGCCCCTGGGAATAAAAGCCCATAATTTTCGGCCCTGCCCTTTCTGCCCTTTCCCTTCTCACATGACTGCCTAAAATACAGCAAGCTCTCTCTCCCACTCCTCTCCTTTTGCTGAAACAGAGCACTCTTTCTCTATCTCTAGACCCAAACCAGTGCTCTTTCTTTCTCTGGAATCTGCAAATCTTATCTCTCTCCTCAGCAAAGTCTCTGTAAAACAAATCTCTCTCTCAAACCAGAGAAAATCTTCTCTCTCTCCTCAGCAAAGTCTCTGTAAAACAAATCTCTCTCTCAAACCCGAAATAAGTTCATTTTTGCTTCTGCATAATCTGTCTCTCTCTCTCTCTCTCACTATCAATGTCTAGAGGCTCAGTTTCTTTATGGGAACCACCACCCCCTCCACCACCACAGCCTCCCCATTCGAGTGGCACCACCCATGGCTCCATACAGACGCTGGTGGTGGTGCTGGCAGTCATCACCATTGCCGGCGTCCTGGCCGGGATATTCGCAAGGGTCTGCGGCGGTCGCCATTTGGCCGGAAACTCCGACCACGATTACGAGGGCTGGATCGAGAGGAGGTGCCGAAGTTGCCTAGACAGTGGGGTTGCACTTACCAAAGAGAAAGAAGAGAAGAAAGAGGAGAAGAAGGAGGAGGCGCCACCAGCTAAGGAGGTCGAGAAAGGAGACCAGAAAGTCTGAGCTTCTTGTTTCTCACTCTAAAAATATTCTCTCCCTCTCTCTAAATATATATTATATTGTAAATTTTAGAGCTTTTCTCCTGATTTATGAGGGGAAAAATCGTGTTTTGGGGTTTGGTATGTTGCGAAATGTATGTTCTGTTTGCCTTCGATCAACTTTATTAGTTGATCTGTTATTTATCTCCCACTTTTATGTTGCATTGAAGGCGTTTTAAAATGCCCCAACTCTCTTTGGGTTTTTTATGTTGCATTGAAGAAGGCGATTTAAAATGCCCCAACTCTCTCTCGCTACAGTGGGATTTCTTATTTTTTGGGTTTTTTATGTTGCATTGAAGGCGTTTTAAAATGCCCCAACTCTCTCTCTCTACAGTGGGATTTCTTATTTTTTGGGTTTTTTATGTTGCATTGAAGGCGATTTAAAATGCCCCAACTCTCTCTCTCTACAGTGGGATTTCTTATTTTTTGGGTTTGTTATGTTCATTTTCTACTTATGATTTCCTGATGTTGCTTGGAATGGAAAGCGAGTATAGACTGTCTCTCTCCACTGCGAAATTCAAAGTATTTTTCCGCTTTTTTCGTTTTTGTGGTATGGGGAATTCATTTTATTTTTCTCGTGAAAAATCCATCTGTTATTGTTCTCTGTATATGTTAGTCTCGTTACTGCAGGAGTTACCCTACTACAAAGTATCCGTTAAAAAAGCCCACCAACGGTACGATAACTCTCCCCTCTCTTCTCTCTGCCTCTCTTTGCTTGACTTATGATTCTATAGAAACCTAGAGTAATTCACGTACGGATAAAAAATAAAAAATCAAATAAACCCAAAATGGATTAAGTTTGAGTGAAAATTTCGAGGAAGGTTGTCTGACTCGTGTTTTTTTTTATAAAAAAATTGCCCTTATGACTATTTTTTTAAGTTTTTTTTACAACGAGTTGTCCATCCGAAGTTGGCATCTTCGTACCGTTTTATTTTTTAATAAATTAACCAGTTAATACGGTATCAGGATGCCATCCTCATACCACCTCGAAAAGGCAGTCTAGGAATGGGTTGCTCGAAACGTCTCTGAGTGCTTAACAAAACCAGTCTTTACTGTTTGAGGCTGCCCGCTTCGGATCGCTTTGAAGAGCACACCAAAGTGCAGTCCGATAACCTGGTACAGACTGGGTACTGCCCTAAACACTTAGGGCACCACCTTACTATTGAAAAAACTCAGAAAAATAATAAAAAACTCTAATTTGTAATTTTAATTCAAAATTAACTCATTTTATATTTTACTTTGCACTATTTTATATTTTATTTTACACTTGCGAGACGCAGGACAACATCCGTTTTTTGTATTATTGTGTTAAGTGCCTGCTCTGAGAAATGTGGTACGGAGAAGAGTGTCGTTTTTTCTAGTGCATTCGCCATTTATTTTACGATTCTTTTCCTTTATAATTTATGAAAGGTTAAGTTTGTATAGAGCCGAGGCTCTAAACAATCAAAATAGAGCGCGCCTTCAAACAGCATTGAAAACTGTGATTTTATTACTGGAAAACTTTGTGATAGCCTTAAAATATGTTTTCATCTCTAATTATAAACTTGAAAGCGTAAAAAACAATGTAGATCGAGTAGATCTATGAAAACTTGAAAATTGACGGTCAAAAAATGCTTTACAAGATGCACTATTTTCAAAACTTGTAATCCATTTTTTTTCTGATGTCAATGCATCTTGATGTCAAGATGATCAATTTGAGAATATTTGAGCATCAAAATAACCTTTTCTAGTAAAACTTTTGTGGTGTGCTCTAATTTGATTGTTTAGGGCCTCCGCTCTATATAAAGTTTTTCCATTTATGAATATTGCAATTTATGCTAGGAGCCCCAGTTTAAAGGTCTAACTTGGGAAACACAGAATTTGAACGAGCATTGTTTGTCCATGGTGAAGCAATAATTCATGTAGAAAATGGTTTGAGAGCAAAATTGTTTATGATCCTAGAAAAAGATTATTAGGTAAATGTTTTTTTAAGGAGATTTGTATCTCTGCCATTTGGATCCCAAATTTGAAAGGGAAATTGATGCAGGAAGAAAATAATAAATAATTAAAAAATAAATAAATAGTCAAGATATTATACTTTTTCGTAAGGTCGGTGAGAGAGTCCACAATCAAATAAAACTTTATTCTCATTCCAAAAAATCCTTAGAGGTTGTCACATGTCATTTGTGTGGAGGCCTTTGGATAGTTTGAGCCTTAGGGTGTATGGATTAGAATTCTTGGGGTTTTAGGTCACTCCAGGGTTTTTGGCCTATGAATTAGGGTTAGGGTTTTGTAGGACTCTGGAAGGCAAAGGAGAGGTTAGGATTAGAGGAAAGGGGGGCCTAAAGTGACGGAGTTTTGATCCTAGACATATCCGTTGAGGGGGTATACATAGACCTGAGAGCTTGTAACTCCTACGGCCAGGTCGTGGCTCAATCTTAGCCGCCCTCTCTATAACGTGATATGCATCATGAGCCATCTTCTGTGGTGTCAACCACATTTGCTCGACATTCGGAGTGTTTTTTATCGGTTTGGGATTTTTGAAGTGTATTTTCTCCTAGTTTTAATGGTTCTATTTAATTTTTATTTTGCATTTATTTAAAATATTTCTTTTTAAAGTTTTATAATGGATTATGGATTACTTGTTTTCAGTGGTCCCTAGTGAGGTTTTAAGTAGGACAAGGGTATCTTGGTGGGATGAAATTTAGGTCTTAGGTTTAGGATTACTTAGCGAAGGTAATTGGAGACATGGGGCCGTACAGTTACAGGGTTTGAGTAGTGGAATTCCCTTAGCTAAAATAGAGTGTCTACAATATGTTATATGAAAAAGTTTAAGATTGTAGTAGCATGTATTTTGATTGGATGCCGTGAATTTTACATTGTTTTAAAAGACATGATAGATTTTGACACTATCTTAAAAGACATGTCAAATCTATACTGTTCCAATAAATTGTGAACGGTGTATAACAATGCAACTTTTACTTTTACAATTAAGATTGCCATCTTTTATAAGCCACACCCTGTGTTATATCTTTTATCTTATGTCAAGTCCTTTTGAACTGGAACATGCCTAAGAACCAAACATAACATAGGTGAAAGACGAGCCTTGGAGTTGTTGGCCCATCTCTCCCCCATACCTTGCACTCTATATAAGTCGATTCCAAAGAAGATGAGGTAGAAGAGAGTTAGGGTGCCTTAGTGATCCCCGACGACACCGATTACTAAATTGGATGAAGAACTGTGCAAAAGTATGCTCTCACATGTAACTGAAATTTCATAGACCCTTAAAAATAGTTTATCTTGAAACACTTTTTCTGGACCATCTGTTATCAAAATCCATGATATCGAACTCAAAATTCCCTATCAAGAGAGAAAATGGAGTTGTTGGTCATCACATCGTTTTCCTCTCCCAATCCATACGGTGTCATCATTGCATGGACATTCTTCTACTCAGACTTAGAGCGAAGCGATCATCAAATCTGATGGCCTAGATAGTGCTTTTGTACTAAATTCAAGTGCTCTCCTACTTATAGCTCTCTTGTAATTCTTTAGGATAAACTATCACATACACTTAGTTTGTACAAGATGCTCACCTTCTACTATACAACTAAGGCACACTTCAAATTTTTGCCGGAAGATGTAGTTTCGGTGTTGGAAACAATATGATATTGAAAATTTATAGTCAACCTTAATTATGAAATTTAAAATTCTAAAACTGGTACAGATCAAGCAGATCTATAAACACCCGAAAATATTGAGAATAGACGGTCAAAATAACTTGTTACAGGATGCACTATTTGTATGACTTGAAATTCTTTTTTCTTTTTATATATTGGTATAAAGTCGTGATGGTCAATTAGGCGGTTTTCTAACTTTAGAACGATATTTTCTACTAAATTTTTGAAATACACCTTACTTTTACAGTATAAGGTTGAAAACTTAGATAAATTTTTTCCTTTAAAATCATGTAGGTAACTAGGTTCAAAATCTATGGCCTGAAATTGGAAAATTGTTTGATAGGATTGCATCCCAATCAAAATAATTAATGCCACACCTCAAAATTCATCGAAAATTGTAGCTCTGACATAAAAAAATATTCAAATCAATCACCTCAGCTTTGATTATAGTTGTGAAATCAAATTAAAAATTTAAACGCTAGAAAATAGTGTATACGTAACACCTTATTTAGACCGTCGATTTCGCCTTAAAGATGAGTCCTCAAGATCTTTATTAGTTTTGAGCATCAAATTTAAAGTACTTTTGGGACGAGGATTCAAGGTGAGGCTTTAGACCTGCGTGACCGCATCCTTTGTGATTTAGTGGTACTTCGAAATTACATAAAAGGCGATGTCTGAGGTGTTAACTAGTCGAACTCGATTCGATAAATTTCAAATTCTCTGGAGTGGTCTTGGGGTTTTGAGGCTCTCGTTTTTTCTGTCTGGCTTTTAAGCATTTGTGACAGGAGGAAAAAAGGCTTTATCCTTCCTGTCTCATTTTGCATGGCTTCTACTCTTCCCATCTTACAATCACACTGTAACTTCTCTAACCCTTCCTTTTCTCATTTATGCTCTCTTTCTCTGGTTTTCCTAGTGATTTTTTTTTTGTCAAATATGTTTTGAAAATATGATTCTCTCATTCTAAGACGCGTTATGCAGATATGACTCTCTCTCTCTCTCTCTCTCTCTCTCTCTAATCCTGCCACATCACCGATGGGCTTTGTTTATAATAGAAATATTTATACTGGGTACATTTTTGTAGGACTAATGATGTATGTAATGTGAGGTTATCGACGTTTTCGTGTATGATGTAAGCCTATCTGAGAAGTTTATGTTCCTTTCTTGGGGTGTGGATGCAGAGACTATATGCGTGTTTCCACTGTAGTTTGATGTGTACCTGATTAGCATGTTCTATATCGATTTTTTTCCGAATTTATGTTTTATTTAACGAGAATGTACGATATTTGATATTTTGTATCCCTTCCATGGACCTGCATTCCAGATTAGTGAAAACCACTGGTTTAAGCTTTGAAATGTGTTCCTTTCGATGAAGAGTTGATATTTATTCAAATTTAAACCTGATGCTTAGTGGAAGGAAAATATTTGCCCATTTGTTTTGTTGTAATTGAACATTTATCCTTCCAATTATTTTTGGCCGGAACTTGGTCTGTGTTCCAATGTTTTGCTTGTGTTCTTTAGGGATACCATTCTGGTATTTGAAATTAGGGAACTACTTTTGAAAATTGTAGGAAGGGCACATTATTGGTTAACTGTGATCACTTCTACTGAGGTGATGCTGTCACTTATGTATCCTTTTGTTTATATCAAAGATTTTAGTTTCCTTTTAACACCTTCCTTATCAAGTCCCTGAGATTCTTGAAATCAACTATTTATTTTGTATGGAAACTTAAAATTTTCTTTGTGGCCAGGCTTCATTTTCTAGATCGATTGAGGACCTTTGGAGACATGATGAAATGTGCTGTCAATGTATTACTTGTTTCATCGACCCCAAGTCATTCTTTTGGGCTTAAAAGACACAGACGATCTTATATCATGCTAAACTGGAAGAGTTTGAAACATGGAATCAGTAGTATCTCAGGAAGGAAATATCTTCCTCCTTGGTTCAGGTGGGCATTTTAAAAGGCTTGATAGATATCAATAACATATATTATAAAAATAGTGGAAAATAAAGATTTACTGATAAAAAGAAAATGTGATAGATGAAGATTATGCCGTGATATGAACTATGAAGCTGGGTCATTTTGCAGCGTCGCTCCGATGATGGACTGGACGGATAATCACTACAGGACGCTTGCACGACTTATCTCAAAACATGCATGGCTCTATACAGAAATGATTGTTGCTGAAACAATTGTCCATCAAAAGGAAAATTTGGTGAGGATGATGCATGCTCCCCCTTTGTTTTGTTGTTGTTCTGATCATCCATAAGTCACATGCATTTATACACACATATACCTGCATATATAAGGTATATAACTTTGAGGCATTGTACATTATGGTGCTGTGAATTCTTTATCTAAACTATGTTACTTTCTTGGAGTTGCATATTTGCGAATCATTATGCTAGTATGGTTTATTTTGGGAATCTCTGCGTATAAACTCCACTAGCACAAATACACATTATCTAAGCTGGTATTTGGCGTTGTGAAGTTTGCCGTAGTGTGCTGTGTTTCATTTTAAAGGAAAGCCTAACATTTATTAGTAAATCTTGAGCTTCCAATGTTAACAGGTTAAGTCTGATAACAAATGTTGATCTGTCAGATTTAACGTGGTCATTTGTCTCTCGCCATGAGTGCTTGAAGGAAACTTGCATTGCTCTACAAATCACATAGTGATGTAGGAGAACTTGAAGAAACCAAGGAAAATCAGCAAGAAGCACACAATTTTGGAGAAACCCTAGGGTTTTCTCCCACGTAGAGCTCAATCCTTAAGCTTCTTTTACGAGGCAAAGTCTTTCTTTTCTTAAAGAGGAATACTTGAATGACTCTCCAGCCCATCCATCTCTCCAGCCCATCCATACCCTTATTTATATTGAAAAATAATTGTTTTGGACAATATTTGTCCATACAATTTAACTTTTGACCAATAGGTCATAACTTAAATATAGTTTGACATTAAACTCCCTAACTTTAATAAAAATAACTCAAAAGTTTCTAACTGGTCCAACAATGAAATAAATAAATAAATAAATCTAAAATAGCCTTAAAAACTAAAAAAAAACCAGAACTATTTCTTGCTCTTCTTGTTCTTCTTGGAAGCCCTCCTAGGGTTTTCATCCTCTAAATATGAGTGAAAATTAGGAGGAATCTTTCGCTCCCATAGAAGATACTCATGGTTACTTATGCTCTAATCTCCATCATTCTCCCCTGGTTGAGGAGAACTCACCTTCGAGTTCACATCTTCATCTTCATGCACTTCCATACCATGATACTCTGACATATCAACAATGTTGAAGATGTCTGAAGTCTCCATGTGTGAAGGCAAAACAACCTTGTAAGCATTGCTGCTCATCTTCTTCAAAATCCCGAATGGTCATGCCTTGCGATCATTTAGCTTGTTGTATTTTCCCACTAGATGTCGTTCTTTCCTGAGATACACCATTACCCCGTCTCCCACATTAAACTCCTTGAAATGGCGATGCTTGTCCGCTGCTTCCTTGTATTTGGGTGTATTGGCTTCTAGACTAGCACGCACTTGTTCATGCACTCCTTTCATTTGTTCAACCAAGTCCTCAACAGTAGCATGACTCTCCCCATTGGCCTGGACAGAAACCAAGTCAAGTGAATGAGTAAGGTTTTTCCCATATACCACCTCAAAAGGACTCTTACCAGTAGATCTACTGCAAACACTATTATAGGCAAACTTAGCTTGAGGCAGTGCTAGGTCCCACTGTTTCTTCTTTTCCCTCACAATACTTCTCAAAAGATTGCTAAGAGTACGGTTTACCACTTCAGTTTGGCCGTCTGTTTGCGGATGATAAGCGTTACTAAACTGTAACTGAGTGCCCAATTACTTCCACAAAGTTCTCCAAAAATGCCTGAGAAACTCTGTATCCCAATCTGAAGTTATCGTCTTTGGAACACCATCCAACCTCACCACCTCTTTGAAGTACAAGTTAGCAACTTGTGTGGCATGAATGACTCTCCAAATTTGTGTTGAACTCTATGGATAAGGGCTGACCTTGTAGCCCGGCTTATGACGTTCTTTGAGTCTCCTTCGATCGGATTTTTTATTTTTTTTTGGAGGGGAGGGGGTGGGGGTTCACCTTCTGTCAATAAGTCTAAGGCCTTCCAGTAGAACTTTTGCATAAGCAAGTGGAGTTTGTGGTACCTACGAAACCAAGTAGCGCAGTAGCAATTTTGCACTATTTCTCGATATGCCTTAGACAACTGGTGGACCAGGGTTGCCAAGGCAGCAGCCATCAAAATTGACTCTGATGACCCTGGGTTTAGGCGGTATCTAGAGATTAGCTTGGGAACAATCATCGCCTTGGTCCTTAAAATGAGACTCTAGTATTGAGCAAGGTTGACTATTGAAAAAGCTGAAACCTCCGTATTGGATTTCAGCCCCAAAAAGTCACAATGGATTTGATACTATCTTTAATGGCTCCTAATGGGGATTCCCAGGCCTCGAATATATGCTTATTGCTTTCCAATTAGATGGCTAGAGTTGAAGCCATAATGGGTGGTCTATGAGTCACCCTTTAAATTACTAACATTTTGATGGAGAAAGGAAAGGTGGGAAATGAAATCCCCCTTCTTTTTGATCCTCAAACAAGCAAATATCAAGAAAGAAGCAGAAGAAGTCCCCCTTTTTAATACAAGATCTCCAAGAATAATAAAATAAATAAACAAAATTTCAAAGATATTCTCCCCCAAACTCATTCACCTCCCTGTAATTTAGGACTTTAGACCCAATAACTTTGGACTCTAAAAGATACCTCTTCTCTCTCTAGTTTCATGCATCTCTGACCCTGGGTTTGCATCAGGGTTCAGCCCATAGCTCTTCATCTTAATTATAGACAACTTAACTAGGCACTTACAAGATGAGGTAGTGAGGTGCATGCTGTTTGCATATGACGGAGTTTTGATTGAGGACACCTGAAGTAACGTCAACACTAAGTTAGAACTTTGGAGGGATGATCTAGAATCTAAAGGTTTTAAAATTAGCCGGACTAAGACAAAGTATATCGAATGCAAGTTTAATAATAATAAAAGTAGAGCCGAGGAAGTAGTTAAGATTGACAGCTAATAAATACAAAAAGAGCGACTTTGATATCTCGGGTCGATAATCCTAGAAAATGGAAAGATTGAGGAAGATGTTGCACTTAGAATTAGCGCTAGGTGGGCGAAGTGGAGATGTACAACTTGAGTTTTATGTGATCGCTGCATACCAATGAAACTGAAGCAAGTTTTCAAAAATGATAGGAGGCCGGCCTAGCGCTCAGTGGCCAACGTCCAAGCGGGCGCCCAGAACCTTGGGCCCCCTGTAGTAGAAGTTCGATATATATATATTTTATATACATATATTTATATCGAATTTGTAATTTATTGCATTTGAAAATGTTTTATTATTGTAACATTGTTTCTTATATACAAGCATATGAAATATCGCATATTGAGAATAAAATTGTTCAAAATTTCAAAATTCAAGCCATAAAAAATTTAAAAGTTTAATAGGATATGTATTATTAATAGTCTCCAACTCTCTATATTACATAATATGTGAAAAAGTTTAGGATGCTTCTTCAAACCACAAAAAATACTTTTGATTCTCAGAAATAGGTATAGCTAAGACATTAAGGATTTATAGAATTGTTCTTTTAACTTTAGGGGTTGAAAATAATCCCCATAAACCGTTTTTGGGGTCAAAATTGCCCCCTTTCCCTTTTGGGTATCTTAAAAAAAAAAAAAAAAAAAAAGCCCACGTTCCAGGGTGCCCCGCCTAGGCACCCGCCTGGACACCCGCTTGGGCGCCTGTCCAGGTACATCCGCCCGTGTTGGGCGGCATGGGTCTGGACTTACGGTATTTTGGTCCAAGGCGGCGAACCGTTTGTTGAAACATGAACTGAAGGGGAAGTTTTATAGGACAGCTATGAAGCCAATTTTGCACCCGACCCCAAATAGTTGGGAAAAGGCTCTGATGATGATGGTGATGATATAATCTATTGTTCTCTTGGGCAATATGCCCTGAAATTGATCTAATCCACATTACATAGATCACATTGCTCAAAATATATTAACTCGAACAAGTTAGTCAATTTGACTAAATAAATTCCATTTACTGTCAACTTTCGAGAATAACAATACTGTGAATTCTTCCTCTTTGATTTTTGTAGCAGTGAGCTGCAAGGTTGATCAGAATATGATCAAAATGTTGAATCTCATATCTAGATTTAAATTAGTGGTAAGATATTGCCAATTTAGATGAAAATTGAAAGAGCTGGACTTGCGGTTTAAATATTCGTAACTGCAGTCAAAAGTCAAAACTGATACTCAGTATGCATCTTGAAATCCAAATTTGATTTTTAACGAAATTGAGAAAATATACCTGCTAACATAACCCCTCAATACAAAATGCGTTATGGCACTGGTTCCAATCAAGATATGTGTGAGTAAAAAGGTCATAAATATACATTAAATGCCCATGAAATACAACCTCCTTCTACCTATTTCCAATAAAAAATTGCAGAAGGATTATTTAATAGCTAGCAACAAGTACGTTGTACTGGTCAATAAGCCCATTTAGTGCATTTTCTTTTCTTTTTCTGTGATTTAATCTCCTTCAATGTCAATGTAAATGATTAAATAGAGGTGTTGAATTTCAATCATTGCAATAAGATGTAATTAACATGGTATTTATGGGTACCTGGGACTGATTTTGCCATAAATAAAACAAAATCGCAAAAAATGGGTGAATTTAATTCATTTGATGACATTTTTTCTTTGTTTAATTCTTTAAAGTTAGATTTTACATACCTTCTGAACAAATGGTGGCTTCCTATAGTAACAATGCTAGAAAAGGGTATCGGGGTGAGAAATAGACCACGAAAAGCTGTTGAATAATTTCCGGTGGAACCCAAGCCCACTTGAAATGGTGAAGAATGAAAGACCAAATTTTGACCAGCTATAGGGCAGTGGATAAACATATGATCTATGGTTCCTTGGACTGTTTGCGGACGATGCAGCAATTGGTTGGATGAACTCTTCTCCTGTAGATTTGTTCTACCTTGGGGGTATTTTTTGAAATAACTAACCAATTGTATGCCTGGACCTTAGGCAGGGCCATAGTTATGGGGCTCGGGAGCAGGGGATGTTGCTTCTTAGAAGTTCCTTAGTTTGGAAGCACCCTTTTGGTAGATATTTAAAGTGGCAGTGCTAAAATTTTTAAGCTTCTTGATGCCTAATCCTACTAACCTTCTACTTGCACATAGTGAAGTTATGTGTCACTCGAGTTCCTAACAAGAGGAAGTCTTTCACCAGGTGCTTTAGTCTATTGCAGATAGGCACTGGCATCCTGGAGAGGAACATATGAAGCACCGGTATATTGGTAAGACCGAAAAAGTGGCTTTCACTAAGAGTGATTCTGGCCTCAAGAGACATAAATCTGGAATTTCATGCTGCTATTCTACACTCGAACCTTTCGACTACACCATCCCATAGTTCGTTGCTTGGTTTGCCTACTCATAAGTTATGATACTTATTGAATTTTGGATCTAAAAATGACTTGGGCCTGGAACATTTTAACAAAATTCTTCCTTTGATGCTCATGATCCATTCATGTCTAATGGCATTCATGATTATGTTTTCATTTGTGGTTAATTTATTGGTCATACGTCCTTGCTGACTTTTCAGGATAGATTCTTGGCTTTTTCCCCATCTCAACACCCTATCGTACTTCAAATCGGTGGGAGTAACCTCGAAAACCTTGCAAAAGCAACTGAATTGGCAAATTCCTATTCTTACGACGAAATCAACCTCAAGTATGTCTAATTCTATGTTTTCTTCAGGCATTAGGCACGTTTGGTTTGGTAGAATTCTCTCTCTTTTGTAGAGAGATTTCCGAGGAATCAGCTTCATACCCAATGAGGTGGTGAAGCTGCTTTCCCATGTCAGGCCTCCATTTTTTATAGTGGCGTGAACGCAGTTAGATTTCCTACATGCGGCATTCCCACAAAACAACCTTCGGAAAGTGGCTTGATCAGTGGAAATCTCTCTCCTAGAGAGATATCCCACAAACCAAATGTGTCTTTTTTCACTTATCTCTTCACCTGTATATGCCTGAATTTATGTTTTCTTTATTCATTCTTTCTGGCTTTTATATTCCAGTTGTGGTTGCCCCAGTGGTAAAGTAGCCGGCCATGGCTGCTTTGGAGTGCAGCTTATGTATAATCCAAAGGTACTTTGCATGCTTTTTCGCATATTCTCCATGTAACATGTGCAGTTTCATCTTGGGAAAGTTTACTTCAATCCGATGGACTATGGTACGGACATTGTTCATTGGGATCTCAACATTGAATGTAATGATAGATGGTGCTGGAGATAGAGCGAGCCCACCAGAACAGTGCACATTACAAGGGTGGATGCCACTCTCTCTCCATTACCGTTCACCATTTTGTTGAACAATGATGTTTCTGTCCTCCAATGATTTTCCATTGTCCATGGATATAGTTTACTTTCCCTTTCACTTTTCAATGAGAGACCTTGAATGTCATTTCCACATTTAAACTGATATGAACTTTTTGATATCCCCAAGGAAAGTTTGTTGGTGAGGCTATGTCGGCAATTGCTGCAAATTGCAGTGTTCCTGTTAGTGTAAAATGCCGAATTGGGGTTGATGATCGTGATACATACGATGAACTCTGTGAGAGTCCTCTATTTTCTTCTGTGTCTTTTAGGTTACCCCATTATCTCATTCATATGCAGAATCAAGAATATGTGCTAAATATATGTAATGAGTTTAAATATGCATGAAATGTTCTCTTTTCTGTTTTGTTGTATTATGTGTTGTTTGATCTTTTGAATATGCAGTTCTTCTTTGTTACTCTGTGGCATTTTCTTACAATAGCATTTTTCTTACAATATATGTTTTCTTATCTTCTAAGGAAGGTTCTTTGATTATGTGGTTCTTTGTCACTCCTTATGCGATTCTTCTTTGACATAGAAAATTATGTGGCATAGGTTTGAATATACTACGGCATAAGGATGAAAAGGATCTTTATAAGGTTACACCAAGAGAGCATTTTGACTGTGCCTTCGTTTTTCTTCTCATTGGGATCATTAATGTAGTGCATTGATTTCTTTTGTGATTCAAATATGTCCTTCAGAGAGTAATTGAAATAGTGGAGCAAACAATTACAAGAAGGAAAGCAAAAAGGAAAGAAACAGTTGGGAGGAGAAAAGTCATATAAACCTGAACCGCCTTATTATCCTTTGTTGCTCAATTATCTGCCACCATATTTGTGCTTCTAGATACATAAATAATATCAAAAGGGAAAAGATTGTACGTGTGTGAACACACAAACACACATATTAGGACATTCAGTTTAAGTTTTGATGCATTCAATCCCGCTCTCTTGTTGGATTCAGGTAAGCAGAGACCGCCCAGTAAACTGGTAACTAGGTTTCTCCAATCTTCCGCCCCCTGGAATTAATATTGACTCCTTCCCATGAGCTCACTCCAATCTATAACCCAAACTCTTCGGGGCTAAAATCTCTCTCTCTCTCTGTCTCGTCCAAGCAGCTGAACCTTTCTGCCAAATCAATGAATTTAGATTTTCTAATCTTGTAGCCTAAGCAAATAAATCCATGTATTTGGCAAATAAAAAGCTAAATCTACCTTAAAGATCATTAGCAACAAAATAAATTCATATTTTGGCAAATAAAATCCAAAGCTTCATTAGAGGTCTTCAGTTTTTCTATTGCTACGCTTTTCTTTGTCTCTCTCTCTTTGATTAAATTGCATTTTTATTTCCTTTTGATTTTTCTAATTTAAGACAACAAATTATTGAAAATTATTTTCTTTAATCAAAAAAAATTTCTTCATTTTTTAGCAAATGCTAGGCTTCTGCTTCTAGGTCCATAATCTTTGTCACTATTTAGGTCTTAATTGTGATTGTATGCTTTTTGGTCTACTTTTATGCCCCTAATTTTTAATTGTCATTTGTTAGGATTTGAGTTAATTATTTATTTGTTATTGCATCAATAGTTTGTGTTTTATTTTCTTGCCCATTGATGATCTCCCTTAAATGCCAAGATTTTGAAAATTGTTAAATTTTTAATTATTTGATATTTACATACAATATGAATTGTTGCTTTATTGTGATGCATTTCCTTAATGTGTGGGTCAGCATCTAATCTTTCTCTTGTAATTGTTTGTGCAAGTTTATTGTTTTTTGTCTCAGCATTCTGATTGTAAGCATAAATAAAATAAGGGAAAATATCTCCATACCCCCTATTTTTAAGTTTTATATCTCAACAAACTCAAGGTTTCAAAACATATCTTGGGTCATAAAAATTCTAAGTTTTATATCTTTTAACCCCTTAAGCCAACTTTATCCCCTTTAAACCTATTTTTTTGCCCCAAACAAATATAAGAAAGACATTCTTTCTAAACACCATCTTTTCTCTCTCTTCACGTAATTTTCCCCTAAATCTCTCTCTACCTATTTTCCCACTCTCTCTCCCCCCGTGTCTCTCACTCTCTCTCTCCCCCATTAGAGAGACAAAGAGGGTGAATGTTAGAGAGAGAAATTTGGGGGGAATATATCACGTAAAGAGAGGAAGGGTTTAGAATGAGCATGTCTTTTTTATATTTGTTAGGGCTAGAAAAATAGTTAAAAGTGGGTAAAGCTAGTCAGGGGGTTAGGAGATATATTTTGAATCTTTGGGTCTATTGAGATATGAAAACCAAAAATAAGGGGTACGAAGATATTTCCCCATAAAATAATGGGATTACATGGGGGTTTAAAAGGGGATATCCGTGAATATGATATTTTGTAGTGAAATTTTTTACAATTTTACGTCATTGAGTTGCTTTTAAGACTTAAACAAAATCGTCTTGCTACATATATGCATTGTTTCTTTTTCTATGGACATTTTTATATTCAAAGTTGCTGTGGGCTAACTTGTCCCATGTTCTTCATCATTTTATTTTGTCCGAGTAGTATGTGAATTTACATATCATTAATTTGGATTGTCACCCTTGCATGGTGGAAGCCATTAGTTCGAGCCTGATTATCCTAAAACCAATAGAAACCTTTTTCGCTTTGTGGCAGTATAATTATATTTGAAAAATGCGTAATTGCAAAATACTAGAAGTCATTTCGCCAATTTTCTATAATCATATGAGCCAATCATGTTCCTCTAGATTGTTAGGATGTTATAGTAGTGCTTGTGAATACTTGTGAAATTGCTTCTTCCATGGCCTTATGTTGGTATGTGATCATTGCAGCTGCAATAGTTCTTAGACATTATTGTGAGCCATGTCTTTAATAACCAAGCAAAGAAAGCTTCTGATTCATTTTCAAGTACCATTTCAACCAATTAACACTGATTGCCCATGATGGTTTGACTACGGGGAATGGAGTGAATGGCATCCAAAACTTGTTAGTCTTGTATGTTGTATCAAACACAACATCACATAAATTGAAGAGCTGTAATCCAAAGGAAAATTATTGGCTTACATTATGAAAAACCTGAGAAGAATGGGTCCTAGTATTTATTTATGAACAATTGTTTCATGCGGGGTGGACCACATTTGTACGATATGCGGTCCAGAGGTATAAAGCATCCATCTTAAAGATGGATGCAAATAGGTGGTCCATCTAAACACAATTGTAACTAACTATCCAAATGTTTTCGTAATATAATTATTATTTCTAGTTTTCAAAATTTATTTATTTATTCATATTCATGAACTCCATATTAAAGATTGTATATTCTCTAAAAATTACGATCAATTTTTTTTTTTTTGATAAAAGGATCAAAAAATATATTTATTGCCAAACTCGCATTTGTACATGTGCGGCCCTGGCCGCATGCTAACCGCATCCTTTATTTATAGTACAATTTTTGCAGATAATTATGCAACCTAGGGAAGTATAAACTCTTATTTCAAAAGTACGTAAATTCATGAACTATTTGGTAAATTTTTGTACTTGAATAAAAAAAAGAGAAATGATCCTATAGGACCTCCCACCCACCTCGTGTGTAGGCCGAACGGACGTACGACACTAACTTAATTAGTTAGTAGTACGTTCGGTTCCGGTACCGTACCGACGTACGG